AAGACAATCAAAATGATGATGAGCCTACATTAGGTCTTAATCATAATGAGATGTTCTATTTTTAAGTGAGTTTATTTTAAATCTTCTTTTCCAGTAATATACTAATATTATCTTAGAACAAATCATCAAATTCACAATTAACATAATATTTTGTTATTTTTTATCATTATTTCATAATTTTAAATTACTTTAGTTTTATCATTTTTTTAGGCTTACCTCGCCTCGCTTAGCCAAAATGCCTCGATTCCCAATTTCGCCTTTTAAAACGTTGAATGTTGTCATTCATATCATGGATCAACTAACAATGCAATGAGAAAGTTGTATTGCATACATATGATTGTTCGAGACCGGCAATGGGAAGTAGATGACCAATATGTGTATGGAAAGCATATCCTACCTATGAGCAAAGGGAAGAGATCATCATGAAAGAGATTCTGACTATTATCAACGATAACTGACTCATACATAAATATTGTAGCTACTTACACATGTTGAAGGTCAACGCACAATGAGTGTGATGGATGGCTTGATGTGTCTTCAATCGCTACAGTTATCGGTTCAAGGCAGTGGTCCACGATTTCGAAGCATGGGGCACCATAAAGAATGCAAAACATCCAATGTTGAAATGATTGATCATTTATTTAAGTCAACATCAGAAAATGATGAAGATGGTGTAATCAAGGAGTTGCCCACTAATCCCTATACGAGTTTTGGGAAGAGAAAGCAAGATCAAATCATTATGGAGTGAGTGAATCTCAGTTCAACCAGGTTCTCAACATTGAGTTGCATAATATTATTGAGGCTTGCAAACTTCTTGATGAATAGTGATTGTGCATCCAATATACCACCTATAGGAAATACATAAGTGCTACGACATGAATGATTTTCTGTGGGATGTTATAGTGAAAGTTCATTAGGAATGTTAAGCCCTCATGAACTGCCTCAAGGCTAACCAAGAGGGGGAGTGAATTTGTATTTTAAAAATCTTTCAAACAAAAACACAAAACTAAATTAAACCAAGATTCACCAAAAAGAAATTTTAAGTGCGGAAATTAAATACTAAAAAAGCAATAGTAAAGAATATAGAAATTTATAGTGGTTCGGTCAACTCGACCTACGTCCACTCCCCGGAGGCGCCATCCAGGTATTGGACTAAACTCAATGACTCTCCTTTTGCTTCCACAGCAAGGCAGAGAAGCCTTTATAAAACCTCCTTTCCACCAACACCGGCGAGGCAGAGAACCCAACTTCTTTTGCTTCCTCCTGAAGCAGGTAGAGAACCTTGATCGATTGCTGAAGTGAACCTCTCTCAACCCTCCAAGGACAAGGGATTACGATCGGAGAAGACAGCGTGGATCAATGCTTGGAGCAACCTTTGTGAAACCCCTCACAAACTCCCCCTCATAAGATCCTCTCTCTCCCTCTCCTATAGGCTCTCTAAGGTCAAGATAGCAGCAAAAGATACCCTCATGGGTGATACAAGATAGCTTATATAGAAGAGCTTCGAAATAGCTCTTAATTGCAACAAACCGACATTATCGTTCAGGACGTATGATCAGTACAATTTTAGCTCAATTAGCTAGGACGATCTGGGACGATCAGAAGAATTTTGTTCATGTCGTCCAGGACAATCATATATTGTCCTGTACGATTAGTTCAAATCATAGAATATCAGTCACGCCATCGCTCTGAATGGATGTCTGGACAATCAAAAAATAGCTTGATCGTCCGGGCCGATCCCACGATCCTTCCGGACGATTAATTCAAATCCGTGCATATCATCTAGAACATCGCTCTGAATAAAACAAGGCCGATGTCAAATTGTCCAAGTGATCGTCCCGGACGATCCTGCGATCGTCCAGGACGATATGATCGTGTAATCAAACCTTAATTGTTTTCCTTAATTACCAGATTAATTTAGGCATAATTGTGTTACATCGTCCAGGACATCTAGGATGATGTCCTGGATGATGTCCAAAAATAAAGAATACCTAAATAGATCTGGCGGTTGATTCTTTCTGATTTGAGCCTATCGTCCCGGTCGATACGAATATCGTCCAGGATGATCTGCTTAATGACGGGTGCCTTAACTAGGATGCCCTAATTAGGGTTTATGTTTTCAACTGATCGTCCAAGCTGATATTTGGATCGTCCCGGACGATGTGAGAAAAAACATAAAACTCTAATTCATATAGAAAAAATTTTTCCCAAGTGTGTGTATGCAAGGTTACTTAGCATCAAAAACCATATCGTTTACAATAGACTCAAGAAAATGAAAAGTTTACAAACTGACTCAGATCTAATTTACCCAATCTTGAACTGGTTCAAAATGTCGTTTTGATCTTATGGTCTTGAAATGTTAGTAGGCAAGGCATAGAAATGTTTGATATCATCAAAATTATAATCCATAAAATCAGATTTGCAACATGTAGTACATCCGCCAAATATTCAAAATACCTCCGCACATGCACCGTAATTTGTATACACATAGGTACACAAAAAAGGTAAATGTAATCAAACACTCGTATGGGCCCCGGTAAGCGTGTTATTAATACACATGTGACGTTTAGGGATATTGCGCGAGTTAATAAATAAACCCAAGTTCGAGCCCGATCCTTCTATGCATGTAAATAGGAATCGACATGGCTCGAACCATTAAATAAATATACGATTGTGAGGTCGATCAGGATATTTATTTTATACATTCATATTAAGCCTTCAAGGCCTTCAACAAAGAAAATTCACTAATAAAGGTATGAAGCCTATGAAACATAATCCTCTATCGATAACTAGACGGAGTCGACAAGGTTCAAAGCATAAATGGAAGTAACCTCAAAGTCACCCCAACAATGGTCGTGTTGAATGATTATCTCAACTATAGGGGTTAATTTCAAACATTTCAAAGTGCCCTCAAACTTCCACAAAATTCAAATATTTTCAAGTGACCTCAAGGTCACCTCGATGATGGTCGTGTTGAACGAAAATCTCAACCTAAGGGGTTAATTCTAAATATTTCAAATGCCACCCATATATCCAAAATTCAAAAATTTCAAAGATCATCCAACTCCAGAATATTTAAAATTGAAATTCAATACTATCAAACACTTAAAGCAAAATTCATCCACCCTCTGCAACAGTTTAACAGGGTGGATAAATTGAAATAACTTCATCTAATATAGAGTTAAATGTTTAATCGAAAATATCGCTATGATCCATTCTCAAATAATCTCCTGCTGGTAAGGATGTGGTACGTGTCCTCTAACCAGCAATTTTGCCGCCAAATGGCATTGCAGGATAAACGGTTATGACCTAGAGCCCTCTGAACCAAGTGGTCTTGCCGTCAAATGGCATTACGAAATATCGATTATGGTCAAAGCCAATACGCTCCTCAGTAGCATCAAATCCTTGAGATATGAATCAATAGGATATGATCGATAGGGCACAAAGTCATCTGTTAACTAAGGAGGATTCAAATTTATCCCCTTAGACAAATATCCAATCCAGGTCTATAAGATTCCCTTGGATGAAGCAACCATGGTTGCCGACAAGGATCCTTCTGTCAAGTTGGGTCGACTACCTCCTCTGACTAAGTAGACTAGGGATCACAATGGCCCGAGATGACGGAACCATGGGATCTTGATCGGGTCCATCATCCATTCCCCCACCATCCGCTTTAAGTGCAAGATGGTGCAATTTTCAATTTTAAATATTTTTCATTCAAAATACTTAAGCCTAATGCTGCTACTATGTGTCGGATATCGCGTATCTACATATACAATATATTCACTGATGACTAGCCTTAATCGAAAGTTCTCTCTCGTTATCGGGAGGGGTAATTACTATAGGGGCCTACGCCTATAGGAAACCAGAACTCAGATCATATTGCAAAACAAGGGTGAAATCTCTGGGTAGTGTCTTATCTACAAACCCATCTGCCTTCCCAAAATTTACCCCGGAACTTACTCCGTTAAAACACCCTCAAATGAAAAAAAAAAAAAAACAGCGGGCGAAGGCAGGGGCCGAATTTTCGGAGCCCACATTCGTACAAAGCAGGAGCCCAACTCACATGAGTCTAAACCAATCTCCACTACCTCTTCCACCTACAGCTCCAAATCGAACCTCCCTCTCGCCCTCTGTCTACTACCCAGCAAACCAACAACTCACAATCCAAACAAAACAACTCTCAAACAACAGCTGCCAAAACAACATAGAACTTGCATTCCCCTCCATACAACAAGAGCCGAACGATCCCTCAAATATATTCCTCCACTAGCAGACCACTCTAATCCATCCACTTGAAACAAGCCCCTCCTTTCTCTCTCTAACAAAGAGGATATTCAACCCTTTCTCTCTCTAATAATAATACTATTAATAGTATTAGTATTAATATTTTAAAAAAACATAGCGCAAAGAGAAAATTCAAAAAAAAAAATAAAGAAAATAATGAATTTGTGTGTTCCAACCCTCACCAATTTCTTTGTCATCATTGTCTCCTCATCTCATTTTAAAATATAATGCTCGCTAAACTCAAAAACTCAAATCCTGTTGTCGACATTTACGATGCAACGAGCAAACCCCCTATACACGCTTTTCAAAGCATAAAAGGAGAAATCTCGTACGTGATGCTTGCGGTGAAGTGGGTAGGTCTTGTATGTATTTTTCGTAGTGTGGCGGGGACACTCTTAAGTACTCGTACAAGTTTTCATGCCAGTAGGAAAATTTGTGAGCAAGTACCTCGATGATCCATACATATTTTTCGTAGTCTGGTAGAATTAAAGATATCGATTGCGATGTCACTCAACACTGACCATATATGTTTTTCCATAGCATGGTAGGCAAAACTAGACTCCCAAAATTTCTCCTATATGGGTGAGACATCAGAAGGCTGCCAAAATTCTATCCAAATAATAATTGAACTCAGAATTTTAAAAATAACCTGGACAATTAAAAATGCAATGAAAATAAAGATTTACATGAATTTACAGCAATCGAATCTAATCTAAAAGAACAATTAAATTTAAATTATAATTGAATAAAATTTATGAAACTTAAAATCCAATAGCAAGGAACCTATAATTTACATGACATCTCCTTTATGAGTAAGGAACCTGAAATGAGCACATCAGCCAGCCTACGAATAAAAATGAGAACACTGTGCTTGTAATAAGCATGACAGCCCGCTTATGGAAGAAAACAAGAGACATGTAATGAATGTATCAGCCCACCTACAAGAGCAAATATGAACTTATGATGCATAAAAGATTACCCACGGGCAAGCATTGGCAACATGTAACGAATATGGCAGCTTGTTTGTGGGAAATATCAATGAACTTGCAACGAGCATATCTATTGCCTATGGGTATGAGCAAGGAACTCGTAGTGCGCACATCAGCCCACCTATAGACGAGAATAATATATTTTTAATGATCACGGCAACTCGCCTAGGAGAAGGAAATGACTTATAATGCAAACTACAATTCACCTGTGGGCAAGAGCAAGGAATTTATAGTACACACAACAACTAGCATGCAAGCGAGAATAAGTGGCTCATATAGAATAAATCAGCCCGCCTACAGGCAAGAATAGGGGAGCTCATAACGGACATGACAATTCTCCTACGAGCAAAATGATTGTGTTGCAATCTAGAATCCTTAATATGTGATTTTGATGATGAAAAACTTTATTTATTGAATTATTGCTTTTCTCACTAAATATTTTGGATATTTGTTTTGTCAGTGAGAACTAACATTTCAGGTAAGATATACAAAGCTCAAGACTCAAGATTGGGTATAATAGGATGTAAAAGAGTATGTAATTTTATTTTCGTTAATTTTTACTTCTTGACTCTGACCACATAAGAGTGTATGCAATTTGGGTGACCATGCACACACGCAGGGGGAGATAAATTTCAAATTGGATCAAAAATACGATATATATTTCGACTATTCATTTCAATTAATTTGTCTTAATTAGTTAACACAGTAGTCAATAAATATGCTACTAATATATCAACATTTAATCAACCAATTAGGTCCACAATCAAGGGTGTGATTTGCAGTATCAAGGATTATTGGATCTAGTTTAGGGACCGAATACATTAATGAAATGTTGGCTAATTTTTTTGTTAATGACTATAAATTTCAAACCAAATCTTGGCGTGAAAGTAGGAAGACAGATAATTTTGATGTTTGTGTAAGAAAGAATACTCATACAAGTGATGATTCTAAGTACGAGGTAATATAAGAAGTATTACAGCTGGAATATCCATATGACATGAATAATGCGTATCTTTTCAATTGTGACTTGTTTGATCTAGTGCATAACAAAGATACAAGATTACATATGTTTTACTGTATAACAGAACTTACAAAAGTAAAGCAGGATAGGAGATATGAAAAGTTTAACCCATTTATCATTATTATCCAGGTAAGCCCATTCTATTTTGTTAACTATCCAAATACATTACGATGCAAATAGGATTGGCTCGTAGTAATCAAGACCAAAACCAGAGGATTCTTTGAGAAAACCATATCAATACCACAAGCACATCAAGAAAAGCTTATGCCAAACTTAAAATATCTTACTAACGATGTGGACGATCAAATTGTAACTAATGAGAGTGAGTTGCAGTTAGACAAAGTAGATTTAAACATAGAGAAAGTCATGAGGAATATGATAGCGATGAAGATGTGTTATCATATAGAAGTGAATCAACAAATGATTAATAAAAAGAAGATAAATTTATTTAATGATATTTCATAATCAATTATGAATCAACAATTTATATAAACTATATAATTTATTTTTAACAACATAGCAATAATTACTTTAGTTATTTTATTATTGTTTTACTTTATTTTAACAGCATAGTAGTACTTACAATTTATATTAAATGTATTTTTATAATTTATGCTATTAATATTTCTTCAATATTTTTTGCATGTCTTTCAGTGATGAGCTTCACCAGGGATTGATCGAGAATATTTTTGGTAGGCGCAACAATAAGGTGACTAGTGGCTCAGTTAGTAGGCCTATACGTACTAAAGGGGCTTCTTTTTCTAAACATGCAACTAAGAGTAGCCTAACCCGCCTTTACCTACTCCTCCAACTAGTAGTCCGAAGATTTACTTACCAGAACTCTGCTTTCCTTCGCTAGACTCAACGCATGGTACTCTCTTCAACCTTTACTACCCCACCTTCTTATGGAGGCCCCTCCCACTTATCCATATCCACAATATGTCACGTCATTCTATCCACCATCACCCCCTCATCCCTCTGCAAATGGACTCTTCACCTAGTTACGACAGAGCAGACGTCAGAGCGGCGCATGTTGATTGCACCTGAGGGTGACATGTACGAACTTACTATATTCTTAAAATATTACTAAAACTTTATAAATGTTCTTTCACCTAACACATTTTGTGTAGGTTTCATTAGTCGAACAAGTTGACGCATAAAATACAAGATATCATCCGAAATAGGTATAATGTACCTTATATTTTTTAGAAGAAAATCCCAAATGAAATGCTCAACATGTGGCTCATGGAGGGCACAACTTCTAATATACTATTTAATTAAGCTAGCAAAAATATTATATATTGTATATTTTTGTATGCATAAAGATTTTTATTAGTTACCCGATCACAAAGATGATATTGGAAAGAATTTTAAGAAGAGCGGGTCAACTCGTATGCGAGACATATTTATAAACATTAGAAAGTCAGGCGAGCGACTCCTCTGGATTGGTGAGAGTGTATGAGCCGAGCTAACCAGTTCTTGGACAGCTCAGATTATACCAGGATAAGGGATCATAATAGACAGAACTGAGATTTTGATATTGGGGGCATGAATAGTTCCCTCCATACTGGGAGATCAGTTCCACATATTAAGCATAGACGACCTTCGGTAGGAAATTTTAAAAGATTTAAATAATTTACTTAGTTATGTATAATAATGTAAGGTTATTATAGAAAGAGTTGTTGGATAGAGAGCCGATCGTTGTTGAGTTGCATAATCATACCCACAAGCGGTAGGAGGACCAACAATGAGTTAATGAGCGAGCAAGGAAAGCTTACGTTAGGGGTGTCAATATTTGACACGACACGAAAACCCGACCCGAACCCGACCCGAAAATTTCGGGTTAGGGTCAACCCGAACCCGAAACGGGTCGGGTTCGGGTTCAACATTTCGACCCGTTTCAAAAATCGGGTCGGGTTCGGGTTAACCCTTTGACTCGACAGATTATTCTGACTACTGCACTTAGTCGCAAGTTATAGATGGAATGCAGAAAGGTCGGGTTTATAATTTAGGCTCGCAAGCCTACGGATACGAGAGGCAAACATCTGGCAGCTCCATTTTCTCAACAAGCAACCAGGAGTCATTGTATAGTCAATAGGTAGGTGCCTTTAAAGAAGAGCTAGATCAAGTCAAAATATCACAAACAGATGTAGATGCAACAAAAATAGTTGTTGGATGAGTTGTGGAAATTGAGAAAGAAGTTCAATGGAAAGAAGCAAACATCAACATAGGAGAATAATGAGACAAATTAGGAGTAGATTTTTTTTGTTATTACTAGACATTTTAGTTCTATGCTGGAAATTTCATTTCTATGTACGAACTTTATATTTATTTTTAAAATGTTTGGTCATTATTTAATATCATTTTATGATTAAATATGTTATTACATACATGTAGCATTAGTGTTTATGTTCATTATTTAATATCATTTAATATGCATGCGACCCCGGACGATTCCGGCAGTTTCCTAGGTCGTTAAGTTTCTAAATTATTTAATTTTTAAAATTTTAAATATTAATTACGAGTAGAAAATATTTTAATCTTTAAAGAACCTAACGATATCCATGCTAAAATAAAAGTGGAATGCAAGTCACCAATAAACTAAGAAAAAAAGCAACCCTAGAGGTAATCATTTATAAATGAACACATCAAAATAATTAAACTAATTAATAAATGTACATAGGCCAACTGCCCTTAATTACAATCTAGGGTCTGTAGAAAATAAAGTGGCCGGGCACCACTGCCAACAACCCAGATTTATAAGCCTAGGACTAACGCAAATGACTTTGAGTGTGATATTGAGTCTTCAGTTCTTCAGCCTTTTTGGACTTCTTCTCCTTGGATCTCTCCTCCTCTGACTCATTGGATTCGTCGTGGCTTGAATATCCAAAAGAATAGACAATCTCCCCTTTGAGGGGTATTGCCTTTTCTCTTTGGATATCTAAAAGTCATCCGAATTCGAGCTTCCAAATGGAAGAAGACTCTCTCTTGAGAATGTCTTCTTCTTTTGAAATTCAAGTTGGATAAGGATATCTCAACTCAAAGTTATTTTCACAACTCTCACTAATATTACAAACATTTATATTAATGAAATAGCAGTAAATTCTAGACTCTTCTGCAATGTTATCCTAATAAAAATTTCCAAGCAGTTTATATGGAAATAATAATAACTCATCACAGCCATACTTGACCATGCTCTTAATTACTTATGAGGGCTAGGCAGTCTCTGGAGCACCTGTAGTAATTATAAATATGATTTTTATTTAGCCCTCATTTATTTAGGGGGGCTGAGTAATTTTTGAAGCACCTGTATAATAAATTATTAGTATTTAAATCATGACAATTGCACTCCTTTTATTTAGCGCTACATGAGAATAGCCACCTGCAGAAAACATGATATCGATCCTAACCTAGGGGTAGATCTAGCGCACAATCAATCAAAATAGCAAACACACATCAACTTTCACAACATGTAGTAAAATCTCGGAAAGCCCGACACACAGCAGAAAATTAAATACCGGCCTAGCCTAGGTCTAGAAGTGGTGCCCTAACAAACAATTATATGTGTGTAAAGGTTTGTGTGGCTAGGATAGATCCTAAGCTAAGTAGTTAGTTCAAGTTACCTAAAGTTCAGATTTCTTAAAGGTCTGAAAAGGAAACTTTGTTTAAAATTTAAATATTAATGAATTAGGATCCATTTTAATTAATTTAATTTTTTAATTCATTTTAATGCTTAGGGTAGTGGTAATTAATGTTTAAATTATATTAGCTAATTTTGAAAAGTCCCGGATCCTCCTAGGTGTTAGACTAAGGGGGTTCAAAAGGTCACTATGGAAAATATGCTAGGTTTGGGGTTTCCAACATTTTAGGTAAATATTAGGGCTTAAGATGAGTAGTTAGGCTTTGAGTTTCCTGGATTTGGAGTTTCTTATGCAAAGATATGAAGTTTCAAAATTTTGTGTAATTAATGAATTATTAAAATTGCCTAATAAGGGGTGATTTTATAATTTTGATCCAAATCAACTCCAAACTGATTGGAATCACCCCCAAAAGTCAAGAATAACCTAAGAAGATGTTCCCAAATATTTGGAGAAAATTTA